CGGTGTTGCATGTACTGTACAGGAGACCAGAGATCACATAGCTGAAATACCTACGATCTCATCACTGTGTGGGACACTTTGTGTAACGATGAGAGATGTGAAGGATGTAGGGAGGAGGTGTGAGTGCTTATTTAGACACCTGCATCCTGTGCTGAGTCTGCAGATATTTTGAAGCTGAAACAACACATTGTTCACACGTAAAGTATACTTACAGTTCTGACTGTGGGCAGAAATTGGAATCTGAAGAGGACATAAACTGCCTGATTTTGTGTCCTAAACGGCCCCACTTGTACTTTGATGAAAAACCATGTGTGTAAGCGCTTAATTCATACCAAAAAATCAGCCCATCCTCTCAGCAAGAATTAGAGTGCGCATCCTCGTAAGCAGCTACTAAATGTTGAAAACTGAGGGGCCAATCAAACATATTAGGATTCGTCATCTGGAACCATAAATGTTTGCAAAAGATTTGTCCCAATCAGCACTACTCACTAGCTGTTTATAAATAAGTCTGGACCAAACCGTCATATTGTTTCAAGCTCTTAATTCCTGGACTCTGCAGATTATTATGTTTCATACATCAGCAACAACCACCTCTCCAAACCTCCACAAGTGTTTTGTCCAAAAGTCAGATATGAGTTTCAATAAATCACTTTCCTGTTTTACAGAAAAGAGAGGTGTAAGAGTGTCGTCCTTTTCCAGGAAAGCTCCAAACTGTCTTGTTACCCATGTGGTGGATGATTTAGAAAAGACCTATTTTGGCCTATTTTCGCCTTGTGACTGTATATGGTGTCGGCCATTGAAAAACTAAACTAATGACTGACTGCTCACTGTTGGTGGGCTCCTCTTCAGATCTAAAGATACAAATACATAAACAAAGGGATGATACTGAAGTGGCTCTCTTTCAATGACACAGCATAGTGTTATATAACCTCATACTGTATGATCAACACTGATAATGCTAGCTGTGCTGAAGTGCACGTATGTCTCATCAAAGTGAGGTGAAGAAATACAGACGATATAAAGAGAACAAAGTCTAAGCTCACGTCTTCCCAGTGCCCAGAATTCTTTGGTATGTTGTTACAGAAGAAGATGAATGCATAGTTCGCTTGTGAAGCAGGCGAGAGATTTTCACCGTATCGTTTTCTTTCAGCATGTTCTCAAATGTCAAACGAACAACTGCGTTTTTTGGATGGAGGTCTGCTTGCTGCCACAGTCTCTAGCCTGATTTTCAGTATATGAACAGGACCACCAACAGAAAAAAATCAGACTAAAAGCCAGGCCAAAGTTTCCTGGAACAGAATGACCCAACCATTGAGTGATTAGGTGTTGTGCTGCAGGAGGGCTCTTAAAAACCAATAGTTTGGTTTTAAGGATTTGTACAATTCCTTCTATTTACACAGAGAAGAATGCACTGTTGGATACATTTTATGTCTCAGTGTTTGAGGGTAGATGTGAAATTATGACCTTACCCAAGCTCAGTTCAGTAAATGGATGCAATAGAATTACAGTGGAGCATCACAGTTTATGACCCCAAAACACAGATTATTATTAGAGCCTTGAGTTCCTTACACAGATTGTCATTGTTACTTTTAATACAGAACTTGCTGTTAATACAGATCTTCTTTCTACAACATAAATTCATAAATTTCATGTGTTCCTACCTCAACAGTGAATTCTGAAGCTGTACAAAGTTAGTTTTCTGTTTGTAACAGATGGGCAAAGCTACGTACTTTAATTTATTCAAATTTTTTAACATTTCCAACCATAGTGGCTGTGGGCATCTGATACAATTTCTTTATGCAATAAATACAATATTTTGACATAAAATACATCCAGTAATTGAATTAATCTACGCAAAGTCAACACTGCATGCAGAGACTGATAGATGAAATGCAACCATTTGCCTCACTGTACATGTTTGATGGACTTCTTTGTGGCAGGTGTTGCATCAAATGCTGCATCTTTTGTTTTACACAGTGCAAACTGATGCCCTCTCTGAAACTTTAATCATTTGGGATATTTACACAGCTAATTATAAGTGTATAATGAATGAATTGATTAATTTATTTTAATCAGACTTATTGAGGCAAAATGTCAGAAAGTCTTCGTTGGTTTCATTTCCTTTCCTCCTCAGAGTGGGACAGAGTTGCTAAACCTGAAATCACTCCTCAGAGTTCCTCGGCACTGTATCTGTTGGCTGGTGTTACTGGCTGGCTCTCTTACAAACTTAAACAAGGTGGTCAGAAGCAGCTGGTAAGTGTTCCATGTAAGAAAAAACATCATTTGATGAAAGGTTTTTATCAACAACGTTACACTCCTCAAACCTTTAAGATGAATGATCGAGTTAATTCTTCTGCCCAAGAAGTAGATATGCCATCGAAGACTGTACACAAACCTTTTTCAAAGATTTTATCTATGAACATTAAAGATTACGTATCTACTGTAATCTGTTGCTCTACAGACAGGAGTTTTGCAGATAGAGGCTTGGCACAGGATATTATGGTTTCACAGTGCATAAGTGTATTACACCAGTGATGATAAACTTTTGGAAATTACCCCCTACCAGTATAGACAAAATAACAGATTTACTGTACCTTTATTAGAGACTTTGTGTTGTAGATTGATTGGTGGAGATGCACACTGAATTGATTATATACTTTGGCAGACTCATAGTAGTAAATTTATCATTTTACGTGCACATAGTCATGTCTGATGTCTGAGAGATGAAAAATAGAAAGTTCAGGGTTCACTGATGATTATGATGAACGAGTTGTGCAATCATGTCTGTCCAGCTTCTATAAATAAAGCTGTCTTATAAATAGGGCTGCGCAGTGGATATACAGACCTCGATCTCCAATCAGGAAAGGAGGTTGAGTAGTTTGTGCATTCTTTGTTTGAGCGAGTAGTACTTATTGATCAAGATCATAAAAATATTTCTCACATCTCTTTTCTTGATTATCAGCTGGCAGATTTTTCAAGGGGAAAGAGGTGATGAAATAACTTTCAAGGATTTAATGACTCTCCAAAAAGCCAGAAGATTATGTACAAGTGTTTGCAAGAGAGGACAAATAATAACCAATATAGTTTTTTTATCATGACCCGGGTTTTCTCCAGGTACTCCGGCTTCCTCCCACAGTCCAGAGACATCAATCAATCAATCAATCAATTTTATTTATAAAGCCCCATATCACAAATCACAATTTGCCTCACAGGGCTTTATAGCATACGACATCTCTCTGTCCTTAGGACCCTTGCAGCGGATAAGGAAAAACTCCCCAGACATGCAGGTTAATTGGTGACTCTGAATTGCCCGTAGGTGTGAATGTGAGTGTGAATGGTTGTCTGTCTCTATGTGTCAGCCCTGTGATAGTCTGGTGACCTGTCCAGGGTGTACCCTGCCTCTCACCCAATGTCAGCTGGGATAGGCTCCACACCCCCCTGTGAACCCCAACAGGATAGGCGGTTAAGGAAATGCATGAATAAAATATCTTGGGAGGCGGGGTACAAGGGCACCACATGTGCGAGATCCGGCCCTGGGTGCATTTTTCTGTTACAGTAAAAATAGAATTAAACCACTTTGACTCAACAATGAAATGATAGGTCTTTGGTGGTCAAGGGTCAAAGGTCAAGGTCATTGTGATCTTGTCTGTGTCATTCTTTTGGATGCAATATCTCAAGAATACCTTAAGGGAGTTTCTCCTAATTTGGCACAAATGTCCCCTTGGAATGAAGAATAAACTAATTAAACATGTTTTTGGCCATAGCTGAAGAATACTTGTGCTAATAATGACAAAACGTCACACAAATGCCTAATAGGATATCATGATATAGAGATGACTTTATATCCAAAAGGTCAAAGGTCAGCTTCGCCGTGACATTCTGATATTCTTCTTTTTTTTTTTTTGGCTGTTAATCAGTGTCATATCAGGAACAGATTTTAGTCAGATACTGACTTTTTCATAGTAAACTGTAAGAGAAACTTGACTGGTGCACTTTCTTTCTCTTTTCCTTCTTTCTACCTTTTCTTTTTTGGAACCCCGATTTCCCTTTTTCTGGAAAAAACATGACAGTGTATTTTAGTGATCCATCAGTATAAGCTGTTATTCACTCAGCTCAAGCTCAGCTTATTTTTCATACAAAAGTTCAGTCTTTCCTACTCTTTTTTAAGATTTTTTCTTTAGCTTTTTGCCTTTATCAGATGGGACAGTTTAAGCATAAAGGGTGGAGAGAGAGGGGATGGCATGCTGCAGAGGGCCACAGGCTGGAATTGAGCCTGTGTCTGCTGTGGCAAGGACTTTGCCTTTGTATATGGGACGCCTGCTCTACCCACTAAGCCAGTCTTTCAACCTTTTTTTTATTCAGCCAATTTTAATTTAGTTAAGGTGCTAATTACTGAGACATAAAAGATTACAAACAAAACTAAACTTTTTATTCCAGGCTTTTCATGGGCCCCCTCCCACTGGGGCACTGGGTAATCTGTCCCACTTTTCCTCCATCTATGATGCAACTGAGTGGAAAGTGGAAAAGTATTAAGTAGCAAAACAGTGCCTGAGTAACTGTTCTTACTGTAGTTAAGGACACTGATACAGTTCAAAGGGATGACCATTAAAGAAGAGGAGGGGGAAGAGAATAAATTAAGCTCCTCTTCTGATGAGAGTGTCAAAATGTAATCTGAGGTAAGACCAGGACACTGGAAATGATTTGGGCAAACTTACAAGTAGTGACCTGTGGTTTCAAGTGAAGACTCTATTGACATGTAGCTTAAACTGGTTTATCGGTTGATTCATGATCAATCAGGATGGATTTCACATTTGGTGGCAAACTAAGCTTTTGTATTACATCAGACAGAAAGAGAAACAGCAGGATAAAACAAGACAAACCAAGGGGAAACAGTTTGACAGAGTCAAAGATCAGGGAGGGGAAAGTGAGACGGAGGGAGAGAGCAGGAGTCAGGTTGAGGAGGAGGAGGGAGGCTGCGAGAAAGAGAGGGGAGCGGAGAGGCAGGCTTTGCCTTTTCTGGTAGTTAAAGCTGCTGAAAGAACAAGCAGGAATTCTTTGTGCTGCAGACGGGCTGAGATATAAACCAGGCTGTAGAGGTTGATATATGAAGAGAGGGGAGACACTACTGTCCATGGACTAAACTCCAGCTACTGCTAAGGTACCGTAAACCAACAGGACCCAACAGGCACTGTGGAGTTTTATGTTTCTACCCATGTCATGAAGCTGTGTTGGGTGGTCTCCTAAACTTTGATGCGTTATTGATTCGGAGCTCATTTATGATTTTTTAGCACGTCACAGTGAGAGTTTGTTACTTAGTATTAAACCCCACAAAGCTGTGAAACTGACTTAGTGATAAATTGAGATTCATAATCATGGGTTGATTGGTCGTACTGAATTTATCACACTTAATCTGATGTCTTTCAGTGAGAAAGTGAGGAGAATCATTTGGGCATCATGGACGATGACTTTGAACGCCGCATGGAGCTGAGGAGGCAGAGGAGAGAGCAGATGCGCCTCGAAGCGGACAAGTGAGTGAACCTGAGAACATATAAACAAATATCACATAAACCACACACACAGAAGCACACATTCATGGACGTGCACACTCTCAAACACCAGCTTAATTTAGTAGAAAGAGTGAGTGTAATTGTAGAAATGCTATAAAAGGACACATCTTAAATTAAAGCCTCATTAGTCTAATCGCTGTTTGACTGTCTGACTCATGACTCACAAAACAAACCTGATACGTTTTCAGTTTCAGTACACCATATTTGACCATCGGGGGCTAACATTCCCCTGCTTTTATAAACCACATCTGCAGTCAGTGCCAGAGATATTAGACACCAGCTGCTCAAAGGGAAGTCCCATCCATATTGTGCAGTGTGGTTTGGTGCAGTGGGACAAACTTTACCATTGGTGAAACATTTTAGAGGTGTTGAAGAGTTTCTGAATACTCAAGATGCTTCTCCTCTAATCTTGTAAAGTCTTGGATGCAGTAATCAAGGCTTACTGTTTGTATTTGTGTGTCTGTCTTTGTGTTTCTGCACTTTTGCATGATGGATCTGTGAGTGCCTGTGTGTCTCCACATGAAGCAGACAGGACTTGGATGGCGCTCATGCGATGACGGCTTAATGATCTCCTCTGCCTTTTTCACTCATTAGGGAGTCATTCGGCTGTGCTGCTGTTTGGATTAGTCTGTCGCTCTCTGTCTTCTCCCCCCCTCTCGCTTTGTGCTCAGATAAATACTACTGTACCGTTAAAGAGTTGCTGCTGACATCCACTATGGTGGGGTGTAGTTGCAGGTTCACTCTGTGGATGGTATCTCAAAACACCACAAGAACAAAAGGAAAATGATCTATCATGATGTGAAACTTCAACTCAAACATCTTTAAAAGTAAAACTAGTTCAGCTGCAGTTTCAAAGTGACACAATATAAACAGACAAGCTCTTTTTGTACAGGACAGGAAATACCTGGACACGTCATGAGATGTCATGACCCAAAGGTGGAGGCAAACTGAGTAATCAGCACAATCACTGACGCCTGTAGCTGCTTGATTACAGAGCAGCTCAAAATAAGGATCAAAAATAGGGATGTGTTTTGATTAGAGGAACCAAAACACCCAACGTTAATCAAAGAGAAATTAATTAATTGTATTTAAGTAGATTGTTTTAAATCTGAACCGCTCAGCAACCAAGACTTAGACTTCAGACAACAGACATGGAGCCCATTTGAAAACACAATATAGTGTCATATCCATCCCAGCCCTCAGTCATTAACTTGCTTATGTAATTTTCTTTAGTCCAGATATGTGAAGCTGAAGCCACTTTTGGACATTTATGGGCCACAATGACTAAGTCTACATGCACACTAATATTCTTCTATCATTCCAAGTATGACAATATTGCGAAGTTGATACGGGTCATGTAAACAGCATGTTCGATTTGGGGATTCTGAATTATTGGGCCTTATTCCAAATGTGTCATTTTCTGATTGAGACATGGGACATGCCGATTTTGTTCTGGTTTTAGGAGCGTTCTTTGGACATGTTTACAGGGCATTTGGGTTTTTTACTGCAGTTTGCGACATACGCCCTCCTGCCTGTTTAAATTCATTTCTGTACATTGTCATGGATGCATTACGCACAAACAAACTAGCCAACAGTTTGCAAGCTAGGGCTGAGATACAGGCCCAAAAGAAAAGCCAACATTCCTGATTGGAAGGAAAAACACGTATACATTTATACATTTTGAAAGATTTTGGATATGTGCTCATAATGTAATGGTGACCTTTCAAGAAGATGGTTGAAGGATCGAAAGAGGGAGGCTGTGTTTGCATGGACAAACAAGTCTGCCACCGGTGGAAAACATTTTTTAAAAAAACATGCTTTGATACAAAAAAAGAAAAACTCCAGCTATTTCACTTTTCCATATTTTGACATGTTAGGAGAGCAAGTTAATCAGCGTATGCACGGCTGCATGAAAGCAGGAAAATTAGAGGAATATTCCTTTTTATCAGCCATGTAAACAGCTTAGTAAGTATCTCAGTCAAAAAAAGTTCAGAGTGCTCAGAAGGTTCATCTAATCATGTGACGAAGGTGCTCTTTGGTGGGAACGTTGATATCAAAAAAGGGAAATCCAAGGCACTCTTCTTTAAATGTATAGAAAGCCTTTATTTAAAAAATGGCTATTTCATATAGAAAAGGTTAAAACATGATGAAAGTGGGTTACAGGCTGTAACCCACTTTCATCATGTTTTAACATTTAAAGTTAAAACATTTAAAGAAGAGTGCCTTGGATTTCCCTTTTTTGATAGCTTAGTAAGTATCCTGTCTTTTTCAGAATAAGGACTTTCCATGTCCAGATATGGCGTGCAAGGTACCCTGGGTGCGTTGGTTGTTAACATACTGGGACGCTGTGTCAAGTTCTGCCTGTTACATGCATTGTCTTCTTTCAAAATACACTTCTGTTTTCACAGGAAATTTACCATTTACATACAGTCGATTTCAAAATAAATACACCACGTCGGTTCAATGACACAAATTGACATTTCTTTCCTTCAACATCAAACGCATGTGGTTGGGTTTAGGCAACAAAAACATCGGTTTAAGAAAATCAACAGGGTTTATAATCTTACTGGACGCGAGCACTGCTCACCCGGGTGAAAGTTGGTGTTTGTTGAACCCATCCACCACCCCTCCGACCGCCTTACCTGGACTCTAGCTGCCTTAACTGTAATTCTTGTCCTGTCAGGTTTCCCTGCCAAGTGCCATTAAACTATAATGGTGAACAGCCGTGTATCATGCTGATGTAAAGGATGGCTTTTTCGTTGCTGTCTGACACCGCAAGTCACTGCTCACATGCCGGATTTCGACAACTTAGGAGTTGGGTTGGGGTAACATGTTCCTTCACTAGAGTACCAAATATAAATCCATGGCTGAAAGTAGTCCCCAACACATGGAAGTTACACTCCTGTTTGAGTGTGCTGAAAAATACAGTGCCCAGCTGTTTTAGGAAACCTTTTAGCCTTTTTTAAAGAGTATATATTCACAACCTTTTTGTCTTAGAGCTGACACAGACAGATTGGAGTTGCTGGAAAGTATGGACTCACAGACTAACACATTGTTAGTTTTGGTCTTCTCATTGGATCTGTTACAAATATAGAATATTGTCAGTTTATTCCTTTCAGGGATGATGGTGAAATTTGGTCATGACGAGTCAAGATGTCCATAGAATCAAACACACTATTTTCTTCTAGTTCAGAGGTCAGTTTCTGTCATATCTGATGTCTTATCAGAGCTCCAATGGAAAAAGGCGTTCCGAGCAATTTTTCTCACAGTCCAGCAGTGCCAGCCGAGCCTGCCCTCAGCTCCTTTCTACAGCCCGAGGAAATGCTGCAGACGCTGGAATGTTTTGACTGCCATTTCTATTTCAGCACAAGATAGCCCGCTCTGAACGCTTCAGTCTCTGACAGTCTGAGTGAGTTTTAGAGTCTCTTATTAGCCAAGAAGCTCTCATCATCTTTCCCTCCATTTATCACTGTATGTTTCACGTCCCTCGAGTTCGGGCTCATCTGGAAATGTTACTGCAACATTGAGACAGAAGCCCTCTAGCTTTGGGTGGAGTAATATCTAATTGAATTACTTACCCAGTGACTTCTCGGGGCGACCCAAAAACCTTTGCCCGAGGATTTGCTGGATTTTTGCCTGGTTTGGTTCAAAGACAGAGAGGACTCTTGTGGTTCCCATCACCTCTTCCTCTCACAACATCTGTAAATCATTGTGTTACGGATTCAGGAAGAGCAGAGGGAAATAATACCCATACGCTATCAATGGGCCATTTCAAGCTCTCTCCGTGCCTCATAAAGCCTGGTAATGCTTGGAAAGATAGAAGCCTGGCATGCTCAGAAGTCTCACTGTGGGCGTACTCACAGTTTGATGAAGGTCAATGGCAGGATGAGAGTTTTTTTGTTCTCATCTTTATGTATTTATCTTCCTCTCTTTTCATCTCTTTTCTTGCAGCACTGTCTCTGTCTCTCATTAAATGTATTTTTCACATTAATAAATGCCAAGGGGGGGTCATCCCTTTGGAGTTTCTCTCAGTTTCTTCGAAGTGACATTTTGATCTCGGACACATGTACAGTGTGTGTTTCTTATTATTTCTTTAGTCTGTTTTCCCTCTGTTGTGGCATCTCTCATCTTCGTCATCTCTTTATGAGGTCAGCTTTAGACAGTGTGGCTTATATCAGTGGTTTATAATCCAAATGAGAGGCGTCCTCAAATACTTCTGTTACACAAAATTTGATTTTTCTCTTTTTTTCTTATTTTTCTTGTGAAACACTCAATACTTTCAGCTCTTAAAAGAGTACTTCACCTACAAAATGCCCATTTGTATATCAAGTCCTCACCTTGAACTCATGAAGAAAACTTCGTATGCCTCCAAAAAATACAAAAGGTCTTCATAAATTGAAGTAAAAGGGGTCCACATTTAACAACAGCAAAACTATATCAAAATATTAATTTACAAATTTTCACACAACCCATGCAGTAGAATTCGGGTGTCGTTTATACAGCTGGATGCTCAGTACTTTCCAAACACATGCATTTTCACTAAAACTTTACAATATAAAACACTTCTGCCTGAGTGGCATGCCTAATAATGCACTTGCTTATGAGCTCTGCTTGATCAGAGTTCAAAGACACATGCATGAGACTGTTTGTACTGATGTGTTTGAAATAGTAAGGTCTAAGCAAAAGTGCAATTATGAATTCAGTCGATGAAGAATGTTCACCTGTTTTGGATTCTCCTTTCACTGTGGAGGCATGAGAGAAAGCCAAAGTTTCCTTCATGCAGTCAAGGTACCACAGGGTGAGTGACTAATATACAAATGGTCATTTTGTGGGTGAAGTATTTCTAAAAGCAGTGGTTCTCAACTGGTCGGTCGACATCCAAAAGTGGGTCATGGCTCCATTCTGAATGAACCGTAAGTGATGCAAACATGTCAAGCTTGTAAAAAAAAACACACTTTATTTTTAAGTACAGTGAATTTCTGTCACAGAGCTTTTATTTTGAAGTGCGGTTTCCTGCTGTAGAGCGAGTGACCAACAGACAACTACTTAACAGAGACAGCAAACTAGCTCAGTGACATGGCATGACATGGACAAATCTGGACCCTGTAGCTGGACCAGTTGGGAACCACTGCCTTAAAGCCTCTAACATAATGACAACTCAAGGTTATAACATGAGCAGATCTTATTTAAAACAGATATTTACTTTTAAAGCTAATGTTTAGGCCTATATGATCAGAAACAAGCATGGCTGATTATCTGGTGAAATTAAAATGTTTAGCCACGAATACAAAAAGTGTTACATTTGCAGTTATATCTATTTGGTGTCCATTTTGGTAAGTTTTTGCTACTTGAAATCAGTGCAGTAGTCAATGTGTATACTGGTTATTATGCCCTCCAAAACATAACTTTCAATATATAAACTGAAAATGATGATGTAACTTCAGTAACCAAGCTTGAAAAGGGATTGTTATTTTTGGTTTTCCAATGGCTGTGTCATTTTTGAGTTAAACACAAACACATTAACATGTTCTATGTGTGATATTTCAGCGTGGGTTGCGCCAACAATGATGATGAGGAGGCAGCTCGGGAGCAAAGAAGACGTGCAAGGGAGGAGAGGAAGAAGATGAGGGAACTAGAGGAGTCTGGAACCTCCAATGTGATTGAAACCAACAGGTACAATGTTGAGGAGTTGCTGGGTTGTGGGACAAACAAGATAAACAAAAGACAAGCAGGCAAGATTTATAACAGAGAAGCAGAAACTCCCACCTGTGGTTTTGTTCTCTCTAAACAGCTGTAGGTCAAATCAGTGAGAAGAGCTGATGTTATTTGTTGGGCAGAAGGGAGATGTTGCAGTAACAATCAAAAGTACATGTTATTTAACTGCTCAGTCCAGAAATAGAATACTCTGCCTCCTATCCCAGGCCTGTATGTTCTTGGAAACCCCAAACCCCAGAAGCACAGTCAGACACAGGACACACACATGAATTACAGAGTTGCCACTTGACTTTCACGCTCTGCTGCTCTCATGAAGTGAATTTCATTTGCTCACAGCATGACAGAGACAGAGTCCTCCACCACCACCACCACCACTGCTGAAGGTGCCGATGACGACCAGGCTTTGCTGGAGCGCCTGGCCAAGAGGGAGGAGCGCCGGCAGAAGAGAATGCAGGAGGCCCTGGAGAGACAGAAGGAGTTGGACCCCACCGTCGGCACCACCAACGGCACAGACAGCACACTGGAGGAGCAGTCCTCCATCAGCAGCAGCAGACAGCGGCATACAGAGGAAGAAGAGGAGAAGAAGGAGGAGGAACCAGCTAAAGAGGAGGTGGCAGACGCTGATACCAACTCCTGGAGGAAAGAGGAAGAGGAGAAGAAGGAAGATGTGGAGGTAAAGTGAGGATTTTATTTGAGAGTAACACTGTTTGGGTTGAGATTATTCTCTTAGTGCTTATGATTTTTGTTTCCTTCACAGGAATCTGTTGACGAATCAAGAACAAGGAGCACGAGAAATGAGGTATGGTAAAATATTTTAGCTTTCTACTAACTTAATTTTGTTGTTTACACACTGAAACTAACACACAACTCCATATTTCATAGGAGGGAATTGAGGAAAAGGCTCCAGCAACAGAAGAAGAAGCCGAGCAGCCTGATGCAGGAATGAAAGATGCCGAAGAGGAAGCTGTTCCTGATGTTGACAAGGAGGAAGAGGAAAGGAAAAGGAGAGAAGAAGAGGAAAGACAGCAAAAAGAAAAGGAGGAAAAGAAGAGGATAGAAGAGGAAGAAAGGCTAAAAAAGGAACAGGAGGAAAAGCTCAAGAAAGAGGAAGAAGAGAGGCAGCAAAGGGAGGAGGAGGAGAGGAAGAAGAGAGAAGAGGAGGAGAAGCAGCGGAAGGAAATGGAAGAGAGGCTGAAAAAAGAGGAAGAAGAAAAACTGAAAAAGGAGAGGGAGGAAAAAATGAAAAAAGAGGAGGAGGAAAGGCAGAAAAAGGAGATGGAGGAGAGACAGAAGAAAGAGGAGGAGGAGAAACGAAAGAGGGAGATGGAGCAGAAGAAGAAGAAAGAGGAGGAAGAGAAACGCCGGAAAGAGCTGGAAGAGAAGAAGAAAAAGGAGGAGGAAGAGAAGCAGAAGAAGAAAGAGCTGGAGGAGAAGAAGAAGAAGGAAGACGAGGAGAAGCGGAAAAAGGAGGCTGAGGAGAAGAAGAAGAAAGAGGAGGAGGACAAGCGTAAGAAGAGAGAGGTGGAAGAGAAGAAGAAGAAAGAGGAGGTACTGGTGTGATTTACTCATCTTTTCACCAACAAAATATAGACATCTATAAAATAAGACAAGTCCGTAATCCTCCAGATTAAGTGACACTGGTGCACAATGTTTGATTTATCAAGGCTTTGTTCTCTCTGCAGATATTTGCTGTATGATTTGGTTTTTGTGGTGCGGTCACAGATCACAGTCACAGTGTTTTATTTGCCACATAAATTTGGATGAAAGAGGTGGTGGTGTCGAGGATGTCACAGTCCGATGTGGCTTCAGTTTACATCTGTGTTGCATTCACTGCCCGGCCTCTGATTGCTCCAGTGTTGGATGGCTTTACTGTGGGTTTTCTACATCATGTGTTGTGACTGAGCCACTGTTTTACATTACTTTATTAATTTTCTTCCATTTCTGTCTTCTGTGTGAAGGAGGAGAAGCCCAAGAAGTTTGGTTTTAAGGAAAAGGTAAAATTAGTTTGTCATATAATATTCTTTATGTATACTTTTAAAATACCGAAGATGGTTTGTGGTATTTCATTTTTTTCTCCTGTTTGCCAGACTGAACCAACCAAACAGAACGGAGCGCTGTTTGAGAATAAACTTAAGAAAACAGAGAAGACAACAAGGTAATTCTTTTCAATTCATCAGTAAATTTTGAGGAACATGTGAGTTAGTAAACATCAAAATTATAATAGTTTTATAATTTTAATCAGTTTTTATTTACATGACATTTTTTAATTCTTGTTTTCATTTTGTTTGTTTGTTTTTTTTAAACATTTTTAGTTTTAATTAGTTTTAGTATTATGCCTGGGCCACACTGCCTGCGTGAGCAGCACATTTGTGTCATGGAACCTATTTGTTTCACCGCCCATATAACAGGTTAGAGCAGTGGTTCTCAAATGGTGTGCCATGATGCCAATCCAGGTGTGCCGTGGGATTTTGTGATACCACACATTGTCATTGCAATATTCAACTAAGCATACACAAAAAGTTATGAATTAATTTTGAATTGACTGTATCAGTAAGTTGTGCACACCCATTTCCTAATAAAGAGGTAAATTCTAGCTTGATTTAATTAAAAAAACCTGCATGGGGGACCTTTTTGTCACTGTTTGTGTGTGGGAATTATAAGTGTGTGAAATATCAAAAACCCTGATTGGCAGCTAGTGTGAGGGATGGTAACATCTAAAAGGAGAAAGCTAAGAGTGGGACAATGGATTGCTTTATTGTACAGAGCAAATTACAACAAAGCACCAGCGAAGACGACCTTCACCACTGAAAGAAAAGAGAAAGAAAAAACTGTCAGTAGACAGTATCACGAAGGCTACCTGTCTTGTTTCTTCTTATATTTATTGTCTTTTGTCGTGAAAAGAGTAATAACACACATTATGGAATCTATTGTGCACAGATACAAAATACAGGTGTGAATTTGGCTTGCCCATTGGTGCGCCTTGGACACAAAACGTTTGAAAACCACTGGGTTAGAGCAGCCACACTGCCAGCGTGAGCAGTGTTGCTCAGGTGTGGCAAGGCTGCTGCTCAACTGTGGGACATCTAGAGAATAGGAGTCTCACCCATCTTTTCCATGTGGCGTGGCATGTTCCATTGTGACCACAAGGCTTTTTATTGTGAAATATTGTCATGACCGTGTTGTTGACAATGCAGTGGCATGCACAGTTCCATAAATGAGTGGGGTATCAACTGTTAATTGTGGAAATACAGTAGTTATAGCAGCAGGTAGCTCTGCAGCAGCATCACAGCAACAATGCTGTCTGAGCCGCAGCAGTTCAGTGAAGTAGCTGTTACATGCTGCTCACACAGACAGCGTGGCCCGAGCGTTACTTTTAAGTTTTTCGTTAGTTATTATTACTATATAGGGTTATTTGTAAGGGGTATTATGATACAAACATAACACTTTGTGAAGGCAGTTGACTCACAGTCATGTCAACATCACAGTCTCAACAAACATGTGCACCAATTCCTTCTCATGCTTGTTGTGCTGACAAATTTGACCAAACTGAGAAAGACCAAAACATTTCCTGTATTTTTTTATTTTATTTTAGTTATTTTTTTTAAGTACACAATTTTGTCTTATTGTCTTAAAGTCCTTAGTTTTTATTTTCATTTCAGTTAACTGTAAAGTTTTTTCACACATAATTTTAGTTCTTACTTTAGTTTCAGTTAACATTAATGACCTAATGCATATTTCTCATTAAATGATTGTGTGTGTGTATGTGTGTGCATGGACAGTGCTCCCTCCTCAAAGGCAGATGATGCGGAGCGAAAGGAGGCCGAGCGTAAGCTGCAGGAGCTGAAGCGCCGGCGAAACGATGCAGAAAGCGAGGACGTTGAGAAGATGAAGCAGAAGCAGCAGGACGCAGAGGCCGAGCTGGAGGAGCTGAAGAGGAAGAGAGAAGAGAGGAGGAAGATCCTGGAGGAGGAGGAGAAGCAGAAGAAACAGGAGCTAGAGGACAAGAAAGCCAAAGAACAGGTGAGAGTGGACACTCTGGGATTAACTATATCAGTGAAACATTCCACATTGTGAAAGAAATGGAGGCATCATTTTACTTTGATTTGGTTTGGTTATGTGCCTTTTTATCACGGATCAGACAGAGAGACTCACCTGAGGAGGAATCTGTTGGTTGTGACAAAAGTGTAAAGGCATAGGTGGTTTTTGTGACAGGAGGAGAGGAAGAGAATGAAGGAGGAGATAGAGAAGAGGAGGGCGGAGGCTGCAGAGAAAAAGAAACAGATGGTGGAAGAAGACTCTACAAAACCTGCCTTTGCTATCAGTCCCAAAGGCTCCTCAAAGGTGAGTTTTGGAGAAGTTCAGACATCTGAGTTGTTCTAGAGCGGCTTCAGCACAGTGAGGAATGACATATTTCATTGGCAGCATGTTCTGAGGATGATCCAGAGGAGTAATGATGTTTTTGGACAAAGTTGTCCCTATACTGAATTTCCTAAATGTAATTTTTTAACGCTATGAAACAAAATTCCATTTACCAGTTTACGGTTCAGTTAAGCCCCGTTTCCACCGAGCAGTACGGTTCAGTTCAGTTCGGTACGCTTGTTTTTCCGTTTCCACTGTGAAAAGTTGTGGATGGTACCAATAGAACCATTCCGTACTGTCCCCATTTTTGGTCCTCCCTCTGTTGGGGGTACCTAGCACACAGATCTCGTACTAAAAGGTGGAGCTGTGAACACTGCAGTCTGTTGATTGGTCAATAGAGGACAGTCACTCTGCTCAGGGCTGAGTTGTAGTTGGTTTTGAGGCTCATGTAACCACTGTTCTAACATGGAGAGTTTTACATATATTAGTAAACTGTAACTATGAAATTAAAGGATGTTTTGCTGCCTCTTGCAGCAGCTGGAGTCGGAGAAAATATAACTTAATTCACTGGGCTGACTGCCGACAACTTTTAAGGTGGAACGTTAACTTGTAATGTAACTCAATGTATGAGCTGACGACATGACTCCATCAGCACACCTTAAATTGTGACAACTTGACCAATACTTTAGTTTTTATTGTCTCTCTTGGATGACACACACTTTCAGTAATGAGTAAGTCATTTAAGAACATTCATTCCTGTGGGCTCCAGCAACACTAAACCCCTGAGCTTGCCTGAGAAGGACTAAATGCACAAACTCAGCATTTCTAAATATCCCATTGAAAGAGACTCTCACTGCAGCCTGTTTTATTTTGTTCTGAAAATGTTGGCATGCAGCCTTGTTCTGTGGACGATTCATGAGTTGCAGACTGATAAAGGAGGAAATACAGTGAGTGACAACAGCCCTGCCCATATTTAAGAGTACTGTTTGCAGTGGAAACACTAGGGTCTAGGTACCATGTCTGAAGGGTTACTTTTGGTTTCAAAGGTTCCATACTGTAAGTGTTTGGTGGAAGTTTGTTTGCCTTATTGTGTGACTTTGGTGAATCCAAATTGACCCTTTAAAACACCAGTAGCCTGGAATATTGACCGATTCCCACTGTCTTCATGGCTGTCTCCATAAGTCTGTTTTTATATATTATCTCAACTTGTGAGACGTCACAAAATAAGCATTGTTATCCTCCTTTTCCCTGTTTTGTGATTTAACGTGGTTGTTTATTTCTTTCCATCTCAGTTCCTCTGATATTACCCATACACTGTTAGTTAACAAGAATAAGAAAAGGTTTGTGAGCCAGCGTCTGCGCCCTTCTCAAATATGGCTGTTTTCTTACAAGACCATGACTGGGTACATTTTTTTGCCGGAGTATTTTTGGAGGAATGTTGAGAATTGTGTGTGTAACTCTGCGCATACACGGAGGTATAATTCATTTTGACCAGCAGTACTCAGTGTGTGTATGTGTGTCTCAGCTGTGTACATGTGTGCATGTGTGTGTGTGTGTGTTTCCTGGCTCCTTGACAAGCAAACTCTCGTGCTCAATCACTCAGGCACAGAGAACAGAGAGACCTTCCCAGGGACCGACTGGTCTGCCTCTCAGTGAGGTCGTCTAGGAGACAGGAAGGAGGCCAGGGCAGCTTGACCATGTTAGTATTTATTTATGCTTGTCAGCCACAGGTCATAACCTTCAACTATGCTGTTTCATACAGATCGGGGCGAAGGCAGAATTCTTGAGCAAATCAGCCAGTAAAAGGTGAGCCATAAAAGGTATTCTTTCATTACAATATGAATAAATTAATAAACCAGACACTCTTATATTGGTGTGCCACACTAATGTTTCATGTGTTGTTCATCCACACAGCACCGCAGCCAGAGTGTCTCACACTCCGATTGTCTCCAAGATAGGCAACAGACTGGAGCAGTACACTTCTGCCCTCCAGGTGAGACTCACTGTGCACTGTCATCATTATCATTGAAGTAAAAATGCAAATACAACAATGTAAAAATACATTATGGGTAGATAGATATGTAATTTTATTGTCCATCAAGTGTGCCTCCCGCAAAAATGAAAAGCACATACAGACACATAACATAATACATCATTTAAACATATAATTTATCAATATACAATACAATAGTGCAAATAGGCAGCTAAGAGCAATAGGTTATATAATTAGTAAAGGAGAGCACATCTTATAAAAATAGTAGTGCTCCCTGATGCAGTCATTCTGTATTACAAGTGAAAGTCCTGCATTCAAAATGTTACTGAGGTTAAAGTACAGAAGTGTTATCAAAAGTACAAGAAGTTCTTAAAAAAATATAACAAACATATTTTTATATATTACATTATCAGACTGTTGATGCATCATCATTTTGCTCTTGTAGCTGCTCCAGTTGGTTTTAACTGCTACAGTTTTAAGATAAATCCGAGCGGTTGTGAGATGATTAATGAGGCTGGAAAGTAGAAAAATAAAACAAACAATTCAAATAATTTTTTGGTGATTAGACTTAATGTTGTCTTGTTTTGTTAGATATGTAATCATTTCTCCTCTTTGTGCCTCTGACATTTATTTAAATGACGTCATCTGAGTTGTTTAGAGAGCAAATCTGTCTTTGCCAGAATTGATAACAACTCACAGACCTATTAAACAAGACAAGAAGACCAAAGAAGGCACAGAGTTTTTGTTTGTGTGTTTGATCTTTAGCAATAATAATGATAAGATTCAATAATAATAAACTTTATTTATATGACACCTTTCTATAGCACATTCTAAACATGAAAATAGACATAATGGACATAAAACGGAAAAGGCAATTCAATATAAAAGGACATTTAAAAGCAGTTTAAAACAAGGATTAACTGATTCAATAATTTTCATTTAAAAGGGCTGATGATTTGAGATCCTGTTAATCGAAATGTCATGTAGTATTTCCTTCTTGTGTCACCTTTGAGACCTTCAGACGTCATTAACAATCAGAGCCTATAATTCCCAACAGGCACAGACTCACCAACAGACTCACTTGCATTAACCTTGTCTGTGCCGGGTATGGCCCACAACTGCCCCAGAATCTGTTATATGTTTTATGCAAAATCTTAATCTGTAGAATAATTAGTTACTATAGCTGTAAAATAAAGGTTGTGGAGAAAGATTTCAATATTTGCCTCTGAAATATAGTGGAGTGGAAATATAACGTATAAAGATGGAAATACTTAAGTACAAATTAGCTAAAGCAGCTAACGCTTATTATTGGCAATTTTTCTGTTGGTTATTTTCTCAATTCACTGATGAGTTGTTTGGTCTATAAAATGTCAAAAAAAATTGTCAAAAATGTCAATCAATGTTTCCCAAATCCCAAGATGGCATCCTCACATGTCTTGTTTTGTCCATGACCCAAAGATATTCAGTTTACTGTCACAGAGGAGTAAAGAAACCAGAAAATATTTACATATAAGAAGCTGGAATCCTTAAAAAATAACTCAAACAGACTTATCTATTATCAGATTAATGGGCGATAAATATATTGGTTGACAACTTATCGATTATTTGATTAATCATTGCAGCTCTAGTACAAATCTTGATTAAAAGTAAAAGTCTCCAGAATTGATCCTCAGTCAGTGTTGTGCAGTTTTTTCTCATGTAAAAGTATTTAAATCCACCCTCTACTTCCACAGGGAGCCAAAGATGCCAAATCCCCAAAGCCTGCGGTGGCAGATATTCCTACAGGAGGCGCGCGCAGCATCAAGAACATGTGGGAGAAAGGAAACATCAGCAACACCTCTGAAAGTCCAGCTCCTACTGTCAAGGTGAGAGCGAGACAGCAAGACGGGAGGATGGAGAGCTTTACTGATATGTGAGAATCTCATGTTCTTTTTTCTCCCCAGGATGTGGCTGGTATCAAAGGTGGCGTGGCCGGACGTGTCAACAGTTGGATGGCAAAGCCTCCAGAGGCGGAGAAGACAGCAGCACCTGCAGCAGCAGCACCAGCAGCAGCAGCATCACCAGCAAAGCCAGCAGTAAGACCTGATAAATCCTCGTCTTGGTCACACACATACACACTATTGTGAATTAGACACCAGTGTTGCTTCAACAGAGTAATCCCTTGATATTCTGCACACGCTAATGTGCTCATTTGCACATCCACATGCCAGTCTTTTGTTGGCTGCAGCCATTATATATCTGAGCTCCGGGGCTGGGAAACATGTCTGGAGTCTAGTGACACCACATGGACAGTTTACTCAACAACACCTGCGACCAAAACCCAAACTACCCTCTGTGTATTAATCTTTACCTGATGTGAAAGTTTCTAATATATGTTTTTGTACCCTAAACATGTGCAAAATCATTGAATGGAAGATGAATATTACTTTCATTGTTGCCTACAACAGTCCAACGACAAAGCAGTGAGCTGCAGCAGTTGTGTGTCAGGTGGCTGAATGCCAACGTGCCTTCTTGCACAGCCGTTTCTACACCCCTCTGTACATCAATCACTTTGGCCTCTGTGGGTATTTCAAGATTATATTACAGCCCATATAACCCATAAAACATACAGTACTTTTAAACAGTTATCTCACTTTTTGTTTTTGGATTTAACTCACTTGAAGCCAAAAAACTAGATATTTTAATCTAAGTGCGACTCCATATTTAGAGTCTCCTTCAGACAAGGGTAAAAGGTCAGGTCCGTTCACATTTGTCTCACACAGACACATTATCATCCTATTTTAAAACACTGACAAAACAACCAAAGAAGTAAGAAGTATGATTAAGTTATTTATTATCAAATGGGGCTTTGAACTGGGGGCTTGGTGGACACTGTGTCCTTATCTTAAAGTAGGACACCAGCTGCTAATCTTACCACGTTTTCTGGAGACATTACACGATGTCCACATGCAGCAGCATTGCTGGATGACATATGACATTGTCCTAACGTGAAATTTATGAGCGAGATATCTTTAGTGTCAAACGTCTTGGCCGTCTCGCAGAGGAGTGCTTGTAACCTTGCCCTCACTCATGCTGCAACACCTCCCCCTGATGGAAAGAAGCTGCACAGCAGACCAACAGCTCATGTCTGGATTCTCTTTTGTGTGTTTACTGTGTTGTTGCTTAATTCTCTTCTGCTTTTCTTTCCTCTTTCCAACTGCACTGCTTTTTTCAGCTTTCCTCACTTAAACTTCTGCTGTCTCTTTGCCTGCTCTTCAAACTGGTAAAGGTATCTTTTTACATATGTTTCACTACTACTACCACCACTAATAATCAGAATCATAGCATGGTTTCTAAACATTTGCATACAGCCTGTGGTGGAAAATAATAAAACTTATACACTCCAGTACTGTACTAGTAGAATTTTGAGGTATATATCTTGAGTGTTTCCATTTCTACTTCCCTACATTTCAGAGGGAACTTGTACTGCTTACTCAAGTAGATTTACTTCAGAGTGTTAGTCACTGGTTACAGTCTAGGTACATTTGCTTCTGTACAGTGGCGCCCCCAAGGGGGTGATGGGGAGGCCACGGCCCCCCTGATACAACTCACTGCCCTCCCACTGATTACCCCTGGTGTAATTAATCGTAGGCTGATATATATACATTAAATGAGTGCTGATATATATACATTAACGGACTGAGTGATGTGATTTTAAGTGCATGGATTCTGTCACTGTTAAGAATGTGTTATGTTACACAGTAAAAAGGTCTGTTATGGCAGTTACAGAGTTTTCCGTAGAGTCAGTGAAAGTGTGTTTTTAGATGCTAGGAAGCCTGTCAGTCAACACTAGCACCTATGACATCGATTGACAGAGGCTTGAGGAGGTAGTGTTGTTGTTATTCCTGCTAGTGTGTGTGTAAGCTGAGGAGTGGGAGTTGTTGAGGTAGCCGCTTATACAGAGAACTCCTTGTAAAGTAGACAGGTTTTTATTGTTTTGGCGTTGGCTATGGCCCCACAATACCCTTTGTTAAAGTGAAGGAATAAAAAGCCAGCAAAATGAATTCATGCCTTGTAGCCTCATTGTTAGGGGATGCTACAATATGACTGTCTTTAAGAAGCTGTGGTGCACTCATTTTTCGAACTAAGGTAGTGGTATCTCTTGAAACTAGAAAAACTAAGGCATCCATTGGTGCCAACCATGTCAGCATAGCTTGTCCACAAGGGGGCATCAAGGTAAGGCAAAATTTTTGTGGGGGAACAACTAACATCGCCATTTTCGAAGGGGTCCCTTGACCTCTCACCTCAAGATATCTGAATGAAAACGGGTTCTATTGGTACCCATAAGTTTTCTCAGGGTACTCCGGCTTCCTCCCACAGTCCAAAGACATGCAGGTTAATTGGTGACTCTAAATTTGCCCGTAGGTGTGAATGTGAGCATGAATAGTTGTCTTCCTCTATGTGTCTGTCCTGTGATAATCCCACGATATGTCCAGGGTGTACCCCGCCTCTCGCCCAGTGTCAGCTTTGAAAAATCTCTGGGGGTGCCACTGGTTCAGTAAAAGATCTTATTATTTCCTCCACCACTGCATCAGACTAACAGGGCCATTGTTGGTCTTATTTGTCTCAGGATGTGAAACCAGGTGACGTCGGTAACAAGCGTGGCATGTGGGAAACCAAGAAGAGCTCTACACCTGCCAAGGTAACACATACATACACCTGTACTGCAAAGGAGTGGACAGATTAATGTTTTAAAGTCTTTACAGTGACCTGGTCCTGTTTGTTTGTTTCATTCAGTAGACCTAATAGAAGGGTGAAAGAGGTAATGTGGTGAGAACACTCAATGCACGTTTCACCGACACAGAGTGATTGGTGTTTGTGGTGTTTGTGGTGTGGTGTGATGTTTTCATATTGCCTCAATACACTTATGATTTGGGTCAGTGTTGCCAAATTGGCCAGTTTTTGCCCATTGGTGCTACTTTTTCTTTAACTTTGCAAATAAAATTGTTTAAGGGAGTTGTGATCATTTGGGCTTTATTTTGTTCCAACTGTCAGTTTTCAGCCAACAAAAAGTTGAGTTCAGTCAGCTCAGCTCAACACACTAAGTGATAATTGTCTGAGTCGTTTTAGTTTATTAAAACTATCATAAAATGTTTTTCCTTCTCCAAATACTATCCTGTCATACCTCTGTGACAAAAGACTTGAAAGCGTATGTTTATAATAGTAAAAACCTTTAACATTTAATGTAATACTTTCTAAAATACCTTAATTTCATCTAATGTTATGAATCCTCTTATTTATCCATATAATTAAACGTTATAATAATTAAAAATGTGATAATTGTGCTAACTTTGGTCTTAGATTGGGCTCCTTTTCTAAAATTTGGCAACACTGTCTGGGTTATTTATTCTTCAGTTCAGTCAATTCAAAAGGTAAACATATAATTCAATTACAGTCTTACACATTATGTTTCAGTAATGGACTGTACAAAATGGGGGTGGATAAAGGGGTCTAAACTTATCCACTTTCCAGAGTTTCCTTAAATTTCTATAATTATTTTCATTTTTATTTTTCTAAATGTGCAACAGGTCATTAAAGACATGTTTGGTCGTATGCAGATGACACCATCTTACATGTTTCAGTTTTTATGGTTAAGTTACTGCATCAGTTCAGTACTGTTACTATTTATTTATTTTTATTTTTTTGGAAGGAGGATGTAGCTGTTTTTCTCTCAGTAAATGGGAAGAGCCAAGGAAGAGAATAACACTGAGGGACGCCCTTGCTTGTGTAAACTGAAACATAAAGTCAGCCTGCAGCCCCCACTCTTAATCATTTTAACACAGTCAGTAACTCATTAGCCTGTATATGATCATTATTTCTTGTTAAAAATGGGACATAAACTGAATTAAACTCCTCCCTTTGAGTTGCCTGAACTGAATTTGATGTGATGAAGATGTGATGGCTGCCACTGGTGTGTTTTTCTGTATTACAGAATTGTATTACCCCTCCTCCTCCCTCTCACATACGTATTGTAATATGCACTATATCATGTGTAGGTTATTAATAGTTCCCACACTGCGTTTGAGGACATAAATAGTATTCCTTGGCTCTGATGTGGTTTTTCCTTTGAAACATGGGTGACTTTCATACATGAATATGATCTGTATATTGCTACAGGACATGTGGCTGCACTGTGCACAGCTTTAGGAGGATATTATGGTGGAGTGCAAGAGGTTATGTTTGAATATTGTTTATGATTTATTTTTAAAGCCAGGAGTGGTTTGAATGTAGTCTTTGATGTAGGATTTACCCCTGTTTTTTCATATGAGAGTGTCAAATGGTATATAAAGTAACATACCTGATATATGTAGTGTTAGTGCTATTTTATGACATGTTTTATATAGTAAATATTTATCACATCACTGCACCACCCCACCTATGTTGGTCTAAGATGAATCCACAGATGAAACAAAGCTTTATAAAAGATTTCCTTTATTAGGACCCCCATTTGCTTCAGTGACGCAACCCAAACTCAAAAACAACCCCAGAATAGGCAGTACTAAATGTAGTTTGCATATTTTGTTAACATTTTCTTTCTTCTTTCCTTTATTTCTATCTTTTTCCTTCTGTCCTTATTGTTTACAGGTGGCAGTTGGAGTCAGGAGCAAATTTCACTAATGGTAAGTTTCTTAAGTAAACTTGTAAAAAGTGGTTGAATGTAAATAAGTACATTTACTCAAAGACTGTACTTAAGAAAAATTCAGAGATTCTGTATTTGTGATTATTCTATTCTTTCACTGCAGTATTTATCAGAAGAAAATACTGTAATTTTTCCTGCGCCACATTTATCTGACAGCTGAAATATCAGCATGAAATGACAACATGAAAGGAGCCATTCTACTGCACAATGAGTACATTTACTTTTCATTCTTTAAAGGAATAATGGGACGTTTTGGGAAACACGTATTTGCTTTCTTGCCAAAACTCATTCATTAGTAAAGTATAAAAACAACAATTTACAATTTTTTGGCTTTTTTGATAGGTAAGCTTCAGAATGAAAGGGGACATAGCCCACATGGGTAAACAGGGCACCCATTCTACCTAATGATCTACTTGGCACCCCAATGATTTGCAGTTTTACAGGGCGTTGTGTGCTGGATGAATTCTTGGCTGGGGGCAGTGAGACTTCCTGGAGTCGATTGACTTAAGACTCCAGGTCTAAGTTAATTGGTGCTAAGCAAGACTGACAGGTGACTTGCTACATCTTTATATTGAAAGGACAAACATCCAAAATCAGTTCTAATCTAAATGTATTTATAAGGAACATATAAGAATGACATTTTAGTAAAGTACTTTACAATCAAAAATAATTAAAACTATATACAACACCTAAAGACCAGTTAAAAAACCCAAAAGAACAGTCACACTGAATTAAAAGCCAAGCAACAGAGATGTGTTTAAAGACGATATTTAGAAACAGACAGTGTAGGGGCCAGCCTAACATGCAGAGGCAAATCGCTCCAGAGTTTGGAAATGGATGTATAAAGAGAACTGGACAGAGCAATAAAGGTGGGTCTACCTACATTCCTATTAAAAGTTGCTCAGTGGTGCAAGAAGCCAAAAACAACTGAACAATCTCCCACATCATGGGGCTCATCAAGTGCACTAGAGACTCTGCCAGTCAAGCAGCTTACTTCCAGTTTAGCACTCTGCTAACTTCAATGGGTATAAAGTAATTTAATCGTGCAACTCTTCTAGACTTTCCAAATGTTACTGGACCAAAATGGGTCAAACGTTGATAGTGAAACAAGTCATTTAACGTGGATTGTGATGCTAAAAAAAAATGCGTCCACTAATTTACAGACATTTCTTTCATGATCTAAGTCTATGGGAAAAAGTCTTTCTGGGCCCTATGGCATCACATGATGGACCGGGACCACAGTTTGGCCACTTTTAAAATTGACTTTGAAGCCCGGTGCTATCCTGGGTCTTGGTGTGAAGGCTACAACCACAAAGGAACGTCCTCCTCTGTGCCTCAACCTTGATCTTGAGACAGCCAGAGGCAAGTGGTCGCTGCACATGAGATTGGTATCAGTCTTCTCATCTAACTCTTGGCAAGAGATCAAAGAAGCATGTCAAACTTACGTAAACTGTAGCTGAGTATTGCTGCCAATAACACTTAACTTTTTTTACGCATAATAAAGTGTCTGTGTACTCATGTAGTTCTACATTTACTTAATTAACCAACCTGAACCCACCTTGTCAATGTGCACATTCTACATGTTAAACCAGGATTTATCCTGATCCATCTTGGAGGAAACAGAGTTTAGATGAGGTGTGTCTGTCCTTCACACCATTTTCTAAATCAGTGGGGACGGGCTAAGACTGATTTATAGCCCTCTGTGGACTCATAATCACTACAACCCACTGACTGTCCTTTGCGCCAGAGTGGCCGCTCACACTAAATCAAATCTGCTGTGGGAGATTTTTGGGCAGTGGCTCAGCTCTGTGGCACTCTGGTCTGTGTTTAAAAAAAGACCCTCACCCTGACCTTGTTTCCCAGTATAAAGAACCTTCCAGACTCCTGGGATGGCTGACGTGTCTCTGCAGTGCACTGTTCACCCAGTGCCACCTGGGCTGTCTAGTGCCGCGGTGTTGGCGAGTTGTTAGGCATACCACAGTGCAGCTGCTTGATTTTCACATTACAGCTGACTGCTGGGGAGGATTACTACCGGTTTAAGCAGCAAATCAGCCTCGATCACCGGGCTTATTCACTCAGTGCTACCGATAAAGACCCCATATGTATCCCTGCAGTCTGTGGAGACAGTTTAATTGGTCATTAATCATGAAAAAATACATTAAACATGAGCTGATGTTGGCGTAGTAAAACTGTTTTTCTTCTCCATGCTCATAAAGTCACATTTCTTCTGACACCAAGCCCCTGACGCTGGAGCCAGAGCGTGGACAATAGGAGTGGAAAAGTGTTTGTCGAGTGTCAGCTCAGACCCTAAATAGCAATCCCCGCTTCTTCATCAGAAATAGACCACTGAGGAATGAAGTAAAGGGCAAATGACAAAGTTACAGCTTTCAATCACACATAAAAGAGTCCTGGTATGTGTCAGCAACAGTAGAACTGCCTCTGATGTACAAACACATGCACATACAGCATATACATAGAGTATAAAGGTAAACACATTGAATAACAGCCCTGACGCTATAATCTCGTTCAACACCTAATAAACTTTGAGAGGTTATGCAATTCTAAATTGATGTATGCATTACCTGATAGATCTTTAATGTCTGTCTCTCTCTGTTAGGAGACGTGAAAACCGAAGCATTGACATCCCCGTTTAAATTAAGCCTCACCTGTCCAGACACAAGGCTCTGCTACTGTATGTGCATCCATTTCCCCTCAACTTACCTGTGCTTTGCATGAAGTCCACACCAGAGTGAGGAAAAGACGAAGGACCAGGATAAGTGACTCCCAGCATCAATGTCTCCAGAGATTTTTCCTCAAAAGTTAAAAAAAAACTATGTTTTCATCAGACTTGACTTGATTTTTTACTAAGGAATTAAAAGTCGATTTTATACGTAGTGACGACCCAGTCGCCAGAATAGATGTTGGCAACGTTTCTGCAAACCATGGATATGTTACATCTTGTCTGTCATTATGTAGGAAATATGTTTCAACAATGCTGTGGTTAAGGTGTGGTTTGGTTTAGGCACAAAACCTACTTGGTTATGGTTTGGAAAAGATTATGTTTTGGCTTAAAATACCCAGTTTCGGGGGCACATTCGCAGCAGGAAAAGCAGAGATATCTGCAAAAATCAACCACTTTTTTGCCACTATGCCTGCTGGAAACGCAGCAATGTCTTGTTGAAAATCAACCACCGTTAGTGCCACTATTCTTGCCGGAAAAGCAGCAATGCCTCAGCAAAAAACAACCACTCTTCGAGCCTTAAAAGCCACAGTGATGGATCCTTAAAAACACCCATATTTGGGTGTTTTGCAAATATAACGTGTTCATAGTTTGCAGAAACATAGACCAACATTTTCTTTTGCTGACTGGGCTGCTAGTAAGGCTTTTCAGGACAAAGTGCCACATGTTTAATGCTTAGTAGGTTAAGGATTGTGTAGTGTCCAGCTATTTTATCAAGGTTACAAATTTCAGATGGCTGTGCCTGAATGTTATATTGCTCACTGACATGTCTGCTCTTCTTGTCGTGTATTGTCATATAGCTTAATCCAAATAATAGGCATTTGTGTTTTATTGTCATACACACTCACTGCTTTTTGGGATGACAGTCACTGTTTTGACTCCATGTGATAACCAAGGCTGTTTAATGTGCATCTCACCGCTTAGATTAAACTGCCACTGAGCTGGATGTTGGGTGACGAACCTGTACATAATAGAGTCATTTCTCAAGTCAGCACCATTTTATAATAAGGCAGCCTTTATTAAGGGTTTATGAATAGTAACTTAAGACTTTATTAATGGTTAATAGTGGTTGATAAGTCAGTAATGAGAGCAGTTTTTGGGTTGCCATGTCTTTTGCATGCATTGCCTTGAAGTTTGGTGCAGACATTCATGGTGCCCAGAGGATGAATCCTAATGACAGTGATGATCCCCTGACTCTTCAAATAGCGCCACCAGCAGGTCAAACTTTTCACTTATCCAGTGAAATATCTCAAAAATATAATGGATGGATTGGCACTCATTCCTGAGGGTAAAGCCTTCTGGCATGATGTGATTTTGCCAAGTAGGAAATGCTCCTAGATCAACTTCCCACGTTGCGATCAACCAATCACAGCCCTGTGACATTGTCAGTGTGCTGCTCATGTGCTTCCTTCAAAATTCCTTTGTGCATCTTCTAAGCTATTTTTCCAAATTGAAGTTGGTTGGTTATATTGAACAATATCCTCAGCAACACTGAATAAAACCTCTATGAGCTACTCCAGGGTTAGTGAGGCGGCTTGGTAAGTGGGTAAGCTAGGCTATGCTAACAAGTAAGCTGCCAATAGGCTAGTATATAAGCCAGGTAGTTTGCTATCTAAGTCAGCTATGCTACTACGTAGGCTTGTCGATAGGCTACAGTATTAGCGAGTTAGCCTGCTAAATTGGTAAAGTTAGGTCATGCTAACAATTAAGTTTTCCAGTAAGCTAGACTATTGTTCAGTTACAAAGAGTACGGATAATATAATTTTTCAATTGCAAATACTTGTAATAAACATATTTCCCTCCATTTTATAGCCTATTAATGAAGACTGCAGTGCTTATGTTAATAGCAAGCTAACTCGGTAATATTCTAGTCTATTGGCAAGTTTACTTGTTAGCATAGCCTACCCAGTTAGCATGCTAACTCGCTAATGTCCTAGTCTATTTGCACGTTTTCTTGTTAGCATAGCCTACCTATTTAGCAAGCTAACTCATAAATATTCTAGTCTATTGGGAAGTTTACTTGTTAGCATAGCCTACACAGTTAACAAGCTATATTGCTAATATTCTCATCTATTGGCAAGTTTACTTGTTAGCATAAACTTCTGAATTAGCGAGCTAACTCGCTAAATTCTAGCCTATTTATAAACTCAGTCGTTAGCATAGCACCTAGTTAGCAAGCGAACTCGCTAATGTTCTAGTCCATTGGCAAGTTTACTTGTTAGCATACTCTATCTAATTAGTAAGCTAACTCGCTAATATTCTAGTCTGTTAGCTTGTTAGCATAGTCTTCTGAATTAGCAAGCTAACTTGCTAATATTCTAGTCTATTGGCAAATCTACTTGTTAGCATAACCTTCTTAGTTAGCAAGCTAACCCACAGCACACTGATGTGTCAGAGGGCTGTGATTGTGATTGTAATATTGGTCCAGGAATACAATTTGGGATGTTGATCCAGGAACATGTTATGTTTTGCTATAAAACATGGTACGCACATTCATGTTTCCCTTGGAATGAACTTCAGTAACCCCAGCCTTTCATTTAGTGCCATCATCAGCTGAACATTTTGTCTATGACCAAATACCTGCACAAATAATATTCATATCAGCCTCAACTGACCTTTGTGTTTGGTATTAATCAGCAACCGTTAGCTTGCTGCAGAAGTACAGCCTCACAGAGCAGACAGAGTGTCCTGTCAGCTATGAAGGACCGTTGGACCACTCAGTGCCCATAATACAAATTGAATAGATTATTGTAAAAGTATTCTTCATTAATGGCTTATTAGCAATTCTAACTACAGAGTCAATTGCTTATTAGAAAATGAGAGCCATAAGCACCTAAGTTTATAAAGAGTGTCTTATTATGAAGTGGCACATTCAGCCCAGGACTGCAGCCAGAGAAACACTGTGCACGCCGTTCAATGTTTCTGTCAACAACACATGGGTTTGTTACCTTTTTTAAACTTTTGGCAGTTTAAAAATCACATTATTGTGTAATATAAGCACCAACAAAGTCTATGAATACGAGTGTAAGCAAGTATCCACTGTAACAACTATTCAGTGACCAAATTTACTGTTTTATTTAACAGGCTGGTAGCAGTCTTGCTTTACTATCATCTGTTTACGTGCCACTAACAATGCAGTTTATTTGCAGCAGCTGCAACAGACATAGAGGTTAAAAGACAATGGCAATGTGCACTCTGTTTTAACAAGGCCTGTAATTAACTTTAACTTGTATCCTGGTGTTCCTGTCAGTCAGCTGTGCACATGAGTTGAATCCTGCCAAAATGTATTGTGAGTGTTTCAGCGGAGGGTTGCTTTGTTTGAATATTTGATATTATTGTTTGTATTTGCTTCAGCAATAAAAAAAAATAAAGGAACAAAGTTCTGTTGCTTTGGTTTTAGCTGTTGGGATGAAATGTTACCCCTCCTAACCACTTGTGAAATTATGGCAGTGTTGAAATGTGAGTGGCTGCTGAAAGCTTGAATGGATATGACATTTTACCACAGTGGGAATGTACCTGCAGAATGTGTGTGTGTGTTAGTGTGTGTGAGACAGAGCATTAACATCCAGCTGTCTAACAATAGACTGACCAGCCATAGGGTGCTGTAGTCACATGAGTAAGAAGGGCTGGACTATGTATCCTTGATGCTCAACCTGTTTGTGAACCTCAAGGAGCTGAAGCCTGTTGCTCGTCTCTGAGCTCCCTCTGTCTGGGTCACAGGTAAGGACTCTAATGTCAGCGCTGATACTTGAAATTACAGCAAGGTTTAGTCATAAATCTTGAAATTTAATTGCTGTCCACAAAGTATTTCTTGATCGTTCTGTTGGATTGTTAATGTGGCTGAACTGTGTCTATAACCTGTCACACAGAGGTTGAGATTATTTGCTCCTCATGATAGTGGTACTGATGTTAATTAATAGATTAGTATTTACAACTGCCATACAGTAAACCTACCTTGCTCTGACACAAAGTAAATTTAATATTTGTAGAGTAATAACCTTAGATTAATATTAAAGTTGTACTTCACTGGGGTAAAGTTATTTTTTGTGGTACTTTATAGAACTTAAACACATTTTAGGGGAAATTTCCTTTTTATTTCACCAAAACGATCTGACAGCTGTCACTGGTTACTTTTCTGACAATGGCGCCCCCAAGGGGGGACCAGTGGGGGCCATGACCACCCTAATACACTTGCGGCCCCCTCCACTGGTGCCCCTTAATGAATATAACCAAAGACTGACATTACTGTCTTTTAAGAACCCGTGGCTCATTCTTTAAGCTAGGGCAGGTGTATCTTGTAAAACTAGACAACCTAAGGCATCCATTTGCAACAACCATGTCGGCATAGCTTGTCTGGAAGTGGGCTAAATACTACTCCAAATTCAGAATTAATCTTGGTAAGGGAACAACAGGCATTGCCATTTTCGAAGGGGTCCTTTGAACTCTCAACTCAAGATATGAAAACTCGTTCTATGGGTACCCACGAGTTTCCCTAAACATGAGAAGTCTTGTTCCCTGTAAATGTCTTGTCCATTTTACACATTGTACCTCTTCAAATTAAAGTTGTGTATTTGTATTTTTAAAGAGAACGACAACCAGCCTATTGGAAGGACAATTAATTACCTAAACACACGTTACCGATGCTGGTAACGCAATAACTCTATGCACATCAGATAATTATCCAGCGGGCTGCCATTGTTGTCAGACGTTGATATTAGGTTGAATTTAGGTTGTGACGTCAGGTGACTAAAGTTCAATGTCAGGACAACGTCTAATACCAACAGCAATTTGACACAGAATACTGAAAACAGACAATGTTAATAATTTGTTGGTTGAAAGCTGTAACGTCATCTTGATGTATAGAAACGACATTTAGTTGTAAGGTATGGAGAACAAAACCTAACGTCTGCAAAACGTCATAATGTTAACGTCAACACAAAGTGATTCTATTATCGTTAAGTAATTCTAATATCGTTAGATATTTAAAATCGTCAACCTGCTTTTCATCCCAACCCAAATTTAACATCTGTCCAGCTGACATCGTAATGATGTCCAGTGCCAAATGGTTTGTCATATTAAATGTTAAATAAGAAACCAAAGCATACCAGTAAGCGATTCTTTAACTCTCCATATCGGCATGGCTTTAAACAAGCCCATATATTTCAACAGCATAATAGGATTCCTGAAATTCAGTTATGGCTTTTGGTTTTGGTGTCACTGCAAGATTTTCAGTGGCCCCCTCTGGCCACCCTTATGACTAATTTTTCATGGGGCGCCACTGTTTTCAGACACTAAACACAAATTGCTCTGATACAAAATATATCAAATATTTGTCGAGTGACTACATGAGTTGGAAGAAACGCAGCACATTTACTTGAATATTGTGTTTCAGAGCAATTGGGGGTTCTTTTTTGCTACTTTTTAATTCTGTTTCAACACATGTCAGAAGGAAATATTATTTTATAATACAGTTACTTAAGTCACCTTCCAGCTGTAGTAACTAGTTACTTTTAAGATTATGAGTTTACATGTAAAACATGAGTGTACAAAAAAGTAATTGGAGCTACAACACTGAAATGCTTTTTACAGTTTGCAACATTGTTGATGCTTAAGTACAACTTGACTCTAATACTTCTAAGTTGTTCTAGTTAATTGTTTTGTACCTGTAACAGAGTATTTTAGTGTGACATCACTGCCACGGTACTTCCTCCACGTCTGCCACAGCAGCCACAGATATTTGAGCCAGTGCTGACACTCATTGTAAACTGCGTGAACTGTTGCCATCTCATGCTCTGCTATGTTGTTTAATGATTGGAAATATGTGCCGGGCTAAAGATAGGCTAATAGGGATCCATTTTGCAGAGCTCATCCATAACAAAATGTCCGACACAGAAGAAGTCGTGGAGGAGGAAGTTCAGTAAGTGTACTTTTTGTACTTTCATCATGTCAATATTAATATTGTTCTGGATTTTACTATTTATTCATTGTTTTCTTATTCCTCTTGTCAACACTATCGATCCTCTGAAGGGAGGAAGAAGGTAAGAAGGTTGCACCTGTCTGTTTTTATGTACTGTACCTCATTTAATTTAACATGTCACTAATCGTTAATGTTCCTCATCATCATCAGCACAAGAGGAGGTGACAGGTGAGGAAACTTTAATCTCCCCATACAGCTTGTTAATGACTTCTTAAATATACTTGCTGGTCAGTTTTTTCATAATGTCTTCTATTTTCTTTCCCTCGTACCAGATGAATCGAAGCCAAAGCCCAAGTAAGTGTCTTAGCTCTTCTTTAGTTAAGCAGTTAAAACACCATTTATGGCAGAATATACAAAAATAAAATGTTCATTTTCACAGGTTCATGACAAATATCACCGCCCCAAAGATCCCTGATGGTGAAAAAGTGGATTTTGATGTGAGTTGACGACTTTCATCTTCACAGAAACATCCATTTGGATCAGATTTGGCAAACAACATATACACTTTGTTTTTTCTGATGGCAGGACATCCACAGGAAGCGTCAGGAGAAGGATCTGTCTGAGTTGCAGTCTCTCATCGAGGCTCACTTCATCCAGAGGAAGAAAGAGGAGGAGGAGCTCATCGCCCTCGTTAACAGAATCGTGAGTCTCAGTCAAAGAAGAATCATTGTGTCTGGTCCAAATCACTGTGACAGTGCATGTTTCATCTTACAGGAGAAACGCCGTGCTGAGAGAGCAGAGCAGCAGAGGGTCCGGGCAGAGAGAGAGAAGGAGAGGCAGGCCAGACTTGCGGTATGATGTCATTATCCTCATCACTGTCACTACAGCACATCATACCAGACATCACTATCAGTTTCTCCTCTAAATGACTGACCTGTGCTACATACAGGAAGAAAAGGAGCGTAAGGAGCAGGAGGAGCAGCGTAAGAAGTTCGATGAGGATGCTAAGAAGAAGAAGGCCCTCACAAACATGACCCAGCAGTACACTGCTGGACATAAGGTCATTCAACTTCCTGTCACTTACTGTGTTTAAATGTGAAGCAGGGACGGAGAGCGTACTCATAAATGCTACTCAAGCACAAGTCACAGACAAGAGCAGCTCTTTACCACTTTCTTTGTCACACAGGGTCACTGATCAGGCCATTTCATTCTGATATGATTCATTTAAAGGTGGAGTCAGTGATTCTGGAGGAGGATTGGGATATAAGTTAATATCAAACACATTTGATTTACCATCCCTCTCGCTCCCACTGCCTTTCTCTTTATATATCCATGGCCTTCCACCATGGATGTATAAAGAGAACTGGATACAGAGCTGGAGGTGGGGTCCAGTTCATTCCTATGAGGTTGCTCAGTGGCACATGAAGCCAAAAAAGTTCAACTGCAGCGCATACAATTAGAATTACATTAGAATGATCAGCACTGCCTCTGCATCATTGGGCCCATAGAGCAGGCGCACTAGAGATCTCTGTCGGCCGAACAGGCTACTCCGGTTTAGCCATCCACTCACTTGAATGGGGATGAAATGAATCAAACAAACAAAATATGAAAATGTTCCATCATATCGATGACTACATCAAAATGCTGCTTAAACATACTGCAAACACATCAGTAAAGGCAACAGTAAATACAGTAGGACGGCTAATATGGTGTGCAATAATACAGCAATCAAAGGGCAGCTTTTACTTTGATATTAATCATTCATTTTGCATTTTAGTAATGTTTTGAATGCAGGACTTTTACTTGTAATGGAGTACTTTAACAATATCTATCACTACTTTTAGTTTAGCAAAAGATCAGTATAATTGCTATAGTAAATACTAGTACCAATAGTTTTTATAATACATATTTATATATTTCATTCATATTTTCATTCCCTTGTACTAAAAAGATGGATTAAAAAACAGTGTACACTTTTTGGTTGCATTCAGATTGACTTGTGAGTCTTTTGGTTTTATGACCGACACAGAGTGACAACAGAAGAGGAGGCAAGAAACAAACTGAGAGGGAGAAGAAGAAGAAGATCCTGGCTGAACGCAGAAAGGCTCTGAACATCGATCATCTGAATGAGGAAAAACTCAAGTATGAATGAATGCTAACATTAATGGGATTCTGATGATAAGAATCTTTGGTATCGTTAGATATGAGATATTGTTGATATGAGCTCTGGTTGTTTGTGTTTAGGGAGAAGGCCAACGAGTTGTGGCAGTGGCTGATGGGTCTGGAGGCTGAGAAGTTTGATCTCGGTGAAAAACTCAAAAGACAGAAGTACGACGTAAGTCATCCAGCACACAACAAAATAATGGAAGTTTTTGAATTACTGATGAGGTCCTCTATGAGAAAGAAATGAGGAAGATCTCCCTTAATCATGATGGAGATCACTGAAACACAGGGACTGCAAGACCAT